TGGCCCACAGCTTAATTACTGAGTGTCTGAATCAACGAAGCTTTCAGATGTAGGTCTTGCCTAATGGTGCATCTGTTAGAGATCATTGCCTGTACTCAGCCTCTAAACAAAAGGTCTGGGGGATACAATGGGTCATTGCTAGCACTGTTCTGGATGACCTCTCATTGAAAAACATGCCAGTTCCTACAGTTTATTTTCCAGCCAGCAGTAGGCATTATTGTTTACATCTAGGGCCAAATGGAAGGAATGACTCCAAGGTGGCAGATATTGGTAAAGCCTCTGGTGAAAGCACACTCTCCGAGGAAATTAATGCCACAGCCATTTCAGTATATCTGCAGCCAGAGTCCAGTTATCCAGATGGGAAGGTTCCAGAGCTCAGAGAGGAGGGAGTTCCTTTCCCAGCTGGTAAAGAAAATACGTTGGGACAAGTCTAGGGAAATAAGCAATAAGTAAAGTAGAACCAAAATGTTGACTCTTTGGGTTGGTGTCCCAGCGGTCCACCAGGATCTAACTACAGAGTTTGGAGACCTGTGGGTCTCATTAAGGGACATGTCTCCTGGCTCTTTCCTCCTTCCGAATTCCCCACTCCATGTGTGTGTAGTTTACCGGGGTTCCAAATGGAGTCCCCCCTCCCCCTCCTTGGCCATCATTATCATAACCACAGTGCCTGGCAATGACTTCAAGATTTGGAAAAAAAATAAGTTGGGGGGGGGGGGGGCGGCGGTTGCTGTTTTTTGTTTGTTTGCAATTTAAGGAGTCTTGGTCTTTGCACAATTATGTAATCACTAGGTCCATTTCCTTGCCGGAAAATGTAAATAAATGCAGCATGCCATGTTAAAGAAATTATCATAAAGTTGGATTCACTCAGAATTTAGAACGCCAAGCAAATGCCTAATTTCCAATACTGAGCAGAAATATCCATGTCCTCATGGGTGTTGAGCCCCCTAGGAGTTGAAGTATTTCCTTTGGCTTCTTCAAATGTTTATCACCTCTCACTGAATGGCAGGAAAGCTCACCTCAGGCTGGGTAGGGAGAGTGAGAATTGCCTGAGCCCAGGAATCTTTCTCTGTGTGGTCAGAAGCAGAAGGCACAGTATAAAATAACCCCCCTAAAAAATGCCAAAAACCCCAGGGCACCTAGATGGCTCAGTCAATTAAGCAACCGACTTTGGCCTAGGTCATGATATCATGGTGGGTTCGAGCTCCATGTCAGGTTCTGTGCTGACAGCTCAGATCCTGGAGCCTGTTTCGGATTTTGTGTCTTCCTCTCTGTCTATCCCCCTCCACTCATGCTCTGTCTCTCTCCCTCAAAAATAAACAAAAACATTTAAAAACATTTTTAAAGCCCCTCTATGTACAAAAGCTCACCCCCCCCCTTTTTTTTTTTTTACATTTTTTAACATTTATTCATTTCTGAGAGAGCACGAGCAGAGGAGGGTCAGAGAGAGAAACAAAATCTGAAGCAGGCTCCAGGCTCTGAGCTGTCAGCACAGATTCCAACCTGTGGCTCAACTCGTAAGTGGTAAGATCATGACCTGAGCCAAAGTCGGACACTTAACCAACTGAGCCACCCAGGCACCCCATTTTTTCCACTTGACTAAAGCCTATCATGGGCTGTAAGGCAGCATGGCTTGTGTGAGTGCGTGGATTGAATTGTGTGTTTCAGAATGTTTCTGAACAAATTCCTCCAGGACCCTGTCTTGTCTAGTGCACCATAGATGTGTGAGCAATATTAAAAAGCAGAAATAGTTTCCAGACAAGCCTAGAATTCTCGTTTTGTATGTCTAGAGACCATAAGCAACCCATACTGGGGTAAAGTCCTGCCTGCTCACCCCCTTGTCTGGGCACCATTGCTCCACCCAACTCAGTATCACAGTTGGAAATTAGATTTTAGAGGGCAGACCTGCTTTTGCTTTGCAGCTCATCTGCAGGCATTTGACGCCCAAGAGGAAAGCCCCCTTACGCTGTGGAATCCACATGTTGAATATATCCTCACTGAACCAGGGAAAGAGCTGGTCATAAAAAAGAGCCTTGTTATCTGATGGTGCAGTCTCTCCTAGTCAAGGGTGGAACTGAATTATTTTGCACAGAAGTCAAATGTTATAGGAGTGATTTTTCTCCTTTAATAAACAAGCGTGGGGTTGAAGGATATGAGGCCAAGTGCATTCCAGAATCTGAAAATGATTGCTTAATTGAGGTTTTTCTTCTTTTTCTGAAGAGCACCTTTAGGTGATGGCGTGGTTATGGCTGTAATCTTAATTTACAGCTGAATCCCCTCTTATAATCAGTGTATATGTTTTTTTGACAGTGTGATTTGCCTTCAGTGCAGAATCTAAGCAGATTTGGTCATTTGCTTTGAAAGCAAAAATGAACTCAGTGCATAAACTTCAAGGGTTTTGTTCACCTGGCAACATGCTGGTAGGTCATGTTCTCCCCAAGTGGTTGTTCTGTGTGGGGCTTGTTGACTAAATATACAGTCGTGTCTGAATGGGATGATAATATATCCTCTCCTTTAGAGAAATTTCATTAATGGTATGTGAGGCAAGGAACTAGCTGTGGACCACACTAATGCCTACATTCAGAGTCAGGTTAAAATCCCAAAGGAACATCAATTACCAGGTTAAATGCGCTTTCTATTTGAAGTAGATTACAAAGCATTGGGATAATGCCACAGGCCTTCAAGGGGAACCAGTTGTGATTGATCAACCCGTGGTGGTCCTTGAATCCAGTTGAGCCCTCTTCTCATTTCTCATGAACCTTCCCACGTCTTATCTCAGAGCAGAGAGCCATGATTCTAGGTCAGCCCAAGAATGTCAGAGTGGTGGCTTAATGGGATGGTACATGCAGATTAGTAGTGTTCCTTATCAGAAATGAGAAGGTTTTTGTAAATCTTCTAACTGTTCTAGTTAGAAATAAGGTATTCATTTGAGTCACTATCATCCCCCCATGCCCTGGGCCTAACTTTGAAAATCTACTACTGTCATTCATCTACTCAGGAAGTAACCTTGGAAGCAAAGCTAATTACCTTCCAATCTGTGCTCTTAAAATATAAAGATCCTAAAAACTGGGTGGTTGAGAGGATTTTGGAGAGCCTTGCTTGTCCCAGATGGCTTCTGCTCCAAAGGAGATGCTTTTCAAGTGTCTCGCACAGGCCTGAACCCCATGGGGCCTTCTCTTTCATTCGCTCAATCAGTATCAGAAAATCCCATATGCAGATCGAGGCGGGAGGGAGGATGGAAGAGAGGGTTTCTAGCAAGGTGATCTTCTGGGAGAATGTGCGCTCCTCCCAGCACTTAGCATAGAGCCTGCTGCAGAGAGTAGGCAGCCAGGCAGTGTGGGCAGGGCAACCAAGATCACACTGGGGCATCCCCACCTGTCAGCAGAACACCTGACATTTGTACCACGTAGAGCACTGGCAATGAAAACGCTATTGTACCATATGCTTTACTTTAATTGCTCAAACTGATGTCATTTCTAGTTTTGTTCTCTTTCTCTCCTAATGAAACTTCAACTACTAATACTTTGTTTCTTTCTCATAGAAAAGTTGCATAATAATTAGTTGTTTACAAGCAAGCAAGATAAATAAGGCTGTTTCAACATGGTATATGAATTTTTAAAGAGCCATTTAGTACGAGGCTTGTGAATATATTTTAAATAACTTCATTGAAAATAAATGCTGTCTTTTCCTATAAGTGCTGTCCGATGAATGATAGAATGTGGAACTTGCTAAATCCCAACTACAATGAATTTGAGCCTCAACAAAATAAAACACATAGTAAATTAAAAGCTCTCAACAAATCCATTGAATTTGATACCTCTGGTCTGTATTATGCTGTGCATTTGACTTGGGAGACTGCAGGAAAATATGAAGACATTTTTTATAACATTCAACCAGAATGTAATTTTGAAGCAAACATGGATCATTTATATATAAACAAAGGGAAAACTAAGTTAAAAAAAAAACAAAAAACCTACCCAACTACCCTAATTAGGAAGAAGTGGAATTGCCTGAGGCAACACAATGCCATATTATTTAGGACCTGTTCTGCTAACAGAGGATTAAACCGGCAGGTTTGGTTCTGACGATATACTCCTCCCATGCATCTGTAGTAGATCACCCGGCTGAGCCACAGCCCAGATAGATATCTGGGATCCACAACCAGATGGGTGCCCTTTGAGGAAAACCTAAACTCATTGGGCCTTCCTGAGTCTACAGCCGGTCACATTTGTGTGCACGAGAGTCCTGCTTTCAGAAACTGATCTCTACGAAACAGAAAAGCTAAAGACTAATTTTTGGTTGGGATGTTCAGAAGAATGTCTGATTTTCTTTTTTCTTTTTTTTTTTTTTTTTTAAATGAGAGGCACTGAAGCAAGGAAGAATTCATGGTGCTGGGGTCTCTGCATACCAGGTAGGTGACACACTTGCCTTTAAAACATTGTGGTCTCCAGAACCTGTTTCCTCAAATGGTCACACTGTGAGGTTGCCCCAGCATCTGGGAAGATCAGAAGACTCTGGAGAGACATGAGTGACTCTTTTTGGTTTATGATGGTGGTGACCACTGAATTAAGTTTCATAGGGACTATCTTAGCAGCAGGAGACATGTTTCATCTTTCTTTGGACATCTAAGGAATGATCTGCCCCTCTCTTTTGTTCTGATCCTTCAGCTTTATTTTTGTTGTGCCTTTAATGAACTCTGTGCCATCTGAACAAAGGGAATTTCTGAGCCTCTATGGAAGCAAAATGCATTCACCATAAAGGTCATCCTTGGAGGAGGGATATCAATGATGCCCAAAGGCAATATTTAATGTCATTTGCAATGACCAGTCAGTCATAGTTTTACCCATGGTACCCAGTTACTCAGAAGGAGAAACCCTCACTTAAACAATGTGGGATTTGGTTGGCTCTTATATCTCATTTCTCTCCATGTGGCGGAATGTGTAGCTGTCTGAAGATATGAAAATTAATTTACTCTAGATCACATTTTACACTTACTCCAAGTATTTGAACTCATAAAAAGTTTATTGATATAATTTAGGATGTGAAGAACTAAAATACATTCCAAAAACTGACCAAAATAGTGTGTGAAGTAGTTTAGAGAACTTCCGTTGGAAATCATTGTTATGCATATTACCCTATCTCTCTCAGTAAAATCCTGTTTCTCCTCAAAACCACACCCTCCAGTTGGTGAATTCTTGAGCTGATTTGCTGTGCAAAGTGCCAAACATGAAGATAAAGCAAGAAGTGCAGCCAACTAGAAGGAAGAGTTATAAATGTACAAACAAGGCATTTCTACTAAAGTGTCAGGCATTCAGGAGGTTCATAATTTTCATACAAATATATAAAATCTTTTCATGAGCTATTTTCATTTGAATCCATTCTCGTTCTCTTCGATTCTTCACATCAAGCCTGCAAAAGAAAAAATAAAGAAAGTGTTAGTTTTGTTTTCATGAGTTATATTTAGGGATAGCTTGAAAATCAATATGATAGGTACAACTCAAGCTTGAAGACCTTATTTTCACTTGGAAGCTTCATCTTTTGATTTCATGAATGTAAAATGAACTATGAGTAGGTGTGACCATCAAATTCAGCTCTAGTGATTTAAGTAACTCCAAACTAAATTAGGATGGCTTCCTTCTGAAATGATTAGAATATAATGCTAACCTTACATTTATGACTTGAAGACCTTTGGTCCCTGTGGTAAATTTGCAATCATGGCTCCAGTCTTCCATCCCTCCCTACATCCATCCCCATTGCCATGTAACTTTTTGGTTTCCTACTCTCGTGGGTGAGATATAATTCCTCAAGTCTGAGTTTGGCCATGAGACTTGATTCAGCCAACAGAATGAGGCAGAATGGTCTGCCAGTTACAACTCTGGGCCTCAAAAGGTATCATGTTTTTATTAGCTCTCTTGCATGTCTTCCATTGGCCGACTTACTCCAGGAAAAGGATAAGGAACATGTGCAGCTGAGCCACTCCAGCTAATGTGCCCCAACTAAGTCCCATCGAGCACAGAGCACCCAGCTAATAGAGATGCTTAAGTGAGCCCAGCCTAAATGGGTCACAAACTTATGAGCCAACATAATGAATGATTTTGTTGTAACCCGTTGGATTTTGGTGGGTGGTGAGTGGTTATGCAGTAATAGATAATAGATATGGTGCCATTTCTTTTAAAATCTCTTATAATACAGAGATCATTGGACATAATTTACACATTTGTTTTTTTTATTATTCCTGGATACCATTCCTTGTGCTTTTTATGTGAATAGGTTGTGCATTTTATGTGAGTAGGTTGAATATTTTTTAACAAATGGGATGCTTACTTTTTTTTTTTTTTTTTTTTTTTTTTAATGGCTGGAGAACAAAACTCCATCTACGAGGCTCCACCACTGCTGTGACAGACACTGTGGCTTGGCGCTCTCTCCCTCTTTCTCTCTCTCTCTTTTAATTTTTAAAAAAAGTTTTATTTATTTTAGAGAGAGTGTGTGAGCAGGGGAGGGGAAGAGAGAGATGAGGACAGAGGATCTGAGGCAGGCTCTGTGCTGACAGCAGAGAGCCCAATACTGGGCTGAAACTCACGAACTATGAGATCATGGCCTAAGTCAAAATCGGAAGCTCAAACAACTGAGCCACCCAGGCACCCTGGCTTGTCTTTCTCCATATCCATTCTCAACTACCTTCACCCTTGTTTTTCTCTACTACAAAGGCTGATAGGCAAATATTCTACCTCCCAATCTCTCTTAAAACTAGAGGTAGCCGTGGGACCCAGTAATGGCCAGTGAGCCCTGAGGAGAATTCTGTAGCAGAGGTCTTTTTTTTTTCATTTCAAATTTTTATTTAAATTCTAGTTAGCTAACATACAGTGCAATATTGGTTTTAGGAGTAGAATTCAATGATTTATCACTTACATACAACACCCAGTGCTCATCCTAACAAGTGCCTTCCTTAGTACACCATCACCCATGTACCCCATCTCCACCCCCCCACCAGCCTCTCTCCATCAACCCTCTCAGTTTGTTCTCTATCATTAAGAGTCTCTTATGGTTTGTTTCTCTCTCTCTGTCTTTTTCCCCCTCCCATATATTCATTTGTTTTGTTTCTTAAATTCCACATATGAGTGAAGTCATATGGTATTTGTCTTTCTTGGACTTATTTGCTCAGCATAATACTCTCTAGCTCCATCCATGTCATTGAAGATGGCAAGATTTTATTCTTTTTGATGGCTGAGTAATATTACACACACACACACACACACACACACAATATCTTCTTGATCCATTCATCAGTCAATGGACATCTGGGCTTTCTCCACAGTTGGGCTATTGTTGATAATGCTGCTATAAACATCAGGGTGCATGTACCCCTTCAAATCTGTAGTTTTGTATCCTTTGGATAAATACCTAGTAGTGCAATTTCGGGATTGTACGGTAGTTCTATTTTAACTTTTTGAAGATCTTCCACACTGTTCTCCAAAGTGCCTGCACCAGTTTGCATTTGCACCAACAATGAAAGATGGTTCCCCTTTCTCCTGTAGCAGAGATCTTTTAAAAAGCTTTGCTTTCCAGTGTTTTTTCTTAGAGCCTGTTGTGTCATTTAACACGTATAGCATTGCCATGATGTGCTCTCTGTTTACATGGGGACCCCTTGTCCTACTGTGCTTCACTTTATTGTGCTTTGCAGATACTGCAGTGTTTACAAATTGAAGGTTTGTGGCAACCCTATGTCGAACAGCTCTATTGGCACCATTTTGCCAACAGCGTTTGCTCACTTGGTGTCTCTGTCACACTTTGGCAATTCTCACAATACTTCACGCTTTTTCAGTATTATATTTGTTATGGTGATCTGTGACCAATGATCTTTGATGTTACTATCATAATTGTTTGGGGGTGCCACATACTGTGCCCATGTAGGATGGCAAACTTAATGTTGGGTGTGTTCTGGTTGCTGCACTGACCAGCCCTTCCCCCGTCTCTCTCCTTGGGCCTCCCTATTCCCTCAGATATGGCAATATTGAAATTAGGCCAGTTAATAACCCTACAGTGGCCGCCAACTGTTAAAGTGAAGGGAAGAGTCATGTGATACAGCAGGCTTCACTGTTGTCGTACTTTAAGAAATTGCCACAGCCACCTCAGCCTTCGGCAGTCACTGCCCCAATCTGTCAGTAACCTTCGACATGGAGGCAAGACCCTCTACCAGCAACAAGATGATGACTTGCTGAAAGCTTGGATGATGGTTAGCAGTTTTTCAGTAATAATGTATTTTATTTAAGGCATGCACATCATTTTTTTAGACATAACATTATTGCTCACTTAATAGACTACAGAATAGTGTAAACATGACTTTTTTTAAAAATTTAATGTTTTATTTATTTCTGAGAGAAAGAGAGACAGCATGAGCAGGGGAGGGTCAAAGATAGAGGGAGATACAGAATCTGAAACAGGTACCAGGCTCTGAGCTAGCTGTCAGCACAGAGCCTGACGTGGGGCTCGAACCCACGAACTGTAAGATCATGGCTTGAGCCGAAGTCGGATGCTTTACTGACTGAGCCACCCAGGCGCCCCTCAACATGACTTTTATAAGCACTGGGAATCCAAGAAATTCATTTCAGCTGCTTTATTGGAGTGGTCTGGTACCAAAGCCACAGTCTCCAAGGTATGCCTATACTCATTGTCGAGATGAAATACAGAGAGGTCAGAAGTTAAAAGTAGCTCAAAGTCTCATAGCCGATGAATAGAAATGCTGGGATTTGAACTCAGGTGTTTTGACTCTGGAGCTTTTTCCACTCCACTAACAGGGAAGGTTTGGATAATTCTCAAACCAGAGGGAAAGATGGGGAAAACATAAAATGGAAATCAGTATCAACAGCTGTCAGCATAGGCTCTCATATTTCTTTAGCATTTTTTTAGAAACGTCTGTTTTCTGTCCAAGCCAGTCACCAAGAGGAAGCAAGATACCAACTCCTTCCCAGCCCAGGAGTTCTGGCTAAAATGCATTTTGTTGGGCCAGCAAAACTCCCAGCCTCATCCTCACCCTCAAGCCAGTGTGTATCTGACCATTGTTCCTCACACACCTCGCAGTGAGTTTGCTGGACAGTCACTGCTTCTGTAACGTGTGAAGAGCCCTCAGGCCTCACCCTCTGTGCTTATAACTTGTGGCTAAAGTCCCTCCCTGTGACTCTCCGCATAACATGTTGCACTGTAATTATCTGTTATATGCACCCTCTCTCCTCTCATGCCATTCCCACATAGCCATCCTGCCACTAGGCTGTGCCCTCCAGGAGCATATGAACATGTCCTATTCATTTTTTACATCCTGCTGCCTATCACAGTCCCTGGCACAGAGCAGGGCCTGCAGACTGACAAGTGGGACCACTGGGGAAGTGAGAACAGGAAGGGAACTGAAGTTGGAGTTATAGCCAAAGCCACATTCTTCAATGCGAGGCAGCAAGAAGGAGCAAGGGGTGACACAGGAAACCAGGAGTGTTGATTCGATGTGCTACATCCCCATGGTGCTGTCACATCTGCCCTCAGCCCCAGCGTGGTACTCTCAAGCCATGTGATTGCTGTGGTGACTGTACTGGGTGACATATGGCCAGTCTCTCTGGCTAAGTGAGAGGCCCATGACAATCTGCCCTCGAAGCTGAGAGATTCCTCCAACTTCTCTGAGCAGCATGGGAGGGGTGATGAGTAATAGCAAATTGTCACTGAAGCCTGTTCTATGAGGTGTGATTTCTCTCCAAGAAGTGTCTAGACTGTTAAGTGTCATCTGCAACCCAGAAGCGGGAACCATTTCTGTAAGAGGCTTGATATGGACTTTGACCACCACATACATGTCCCAGGTGCCTGAAATTATGGTTGTACTTCTCAGCATAGGATGAACCATTTGCAATGATCCTTCAATGACTGTTTAAAAGCCCTAAGGGCACCCCTCACGACTGGATTCAGCTGTTGGACCTCTGACTTTAGGACAGTTTTGGAAGCACAGGGAAATGTTGACCCAGTTTTCCCAGATCACCTTCAACCTGTAAGATGGCCATATGATTTAGAAAAACAAATGTCTAGAGTTCTTCACGTAACACTATTCCCAGGTGAACTGTGCTCTTCCCCTTCACGTAGTGTGCTTGCAAGCTGTGGGAAGCATGGGGAACTTGGTGGAAGAAGGGCCTCTGTGCCCAAATCATCGGCCTGTGCTTCATATGGGAGTGGAGAAGAAGCTGAAGGGGGTGGTGTCCTTTTTGACCTCCTACTGTGTGCCATTTTACACAGTTACTTCATTTAATCTATACTATGAACTTGATTCACAGAGGAGTCATGGCAGCTGTACTTCTGCAGACCACCACGTCCTCTCCCACCCCCAGCTTTTCCTTTCCTTCCCAGGTCCCTGTGGAATCCAACAGGACCCAGCAACC